AAATATTTTTTTTATTTTTCCTAGATAAAAAAATCTCTACTACCATTTCTGCTTGATCCTGAATCCAAAAAGAAACTAATTTACGTCTTAAATTATATCAGAAAAAAAAAAGGTTCGTACAAGCTGTTTCTTCCAAAACCTATGAATAAAATAACCATCCATTTTTTTTTATCAGTCTGTTCTACAAATCAACAAGTATCACCGATCAAAACTCGTAAATGCCAACAAATAATAAAATTTACGATTTTTTAAACTTTCATCCCCAACAATCGCTGCGATTCGAAATAATCCCCCAGAAATTTTTCTTTTTTTTTTTTTATTACAAATATTAAATGCTATATTGTTTATTACATCGAAGAAATTCGGTTATCACGAGCCATTAATATTCATACCCCTGATGCATATTCAATCGTACATTATATTTTCTCGTCGCGACTGCACAAGGGCTAATTCGAGCTACTGCAATAACCCGGCTGTCTCATCCGCTTTTTTTAAACCATCCCTTCTTTCCGTGTCGAACAATGGGCGAATGTTGGCGAGGTTGAGGATTAACCGACTAATGACGTCTTTTTTTTTCTTCTTTTTTTTTTTGCACACGTTAGTTAGCTCGATTGAAGTTAGATAATCGCGAGTTTAACATAAAAAAAATAAATATATCGAAGAACTATCCTTCTCAATTCATCCAGAACGTAATTGCAATGATACCTTCTTTTATACGTTTGTTTTAATAATATTTTCATAGGGAAAGAAGAAATTAAAACGAACTCGTTATTTTGAACTTTAATATCTGAATCTAAGGTATTAAGATCGATCATTGATCTTGATCGAATCTCTCCGACCTGAATCCATAATCTCGAGATCCTTTAACGTTTTCCAAGCATGATTCTTGGGATACAAGTTTCCTGCTAACGTTGCCAATGTTCGATTTCTTCGATCCCATCGAGATCATTTACCTTATTTTTCCACCCCCGTGGAATAAAAAGAAATATCATGAAAACTCTAATACTGTTCCTTCTTCCATATTCTCAAAATATTTCTCAAAATATAATTCCGTTCTTCAATTTCAAAAAAAAAAAAAAAATTATAAAATCTCGCCTTCGAACAGAATCAGATAGAATCTTTCCCTAAACAACAAGGATATATCTCAAAAGCAAAACGAAAAACATCGGTTTCAAATTCGATTTATCCTTAGAAATCTAGAATCTCGCGTTCGAATTTATTTATTCCTAAAAACGACATAACGTAGAAAACATAGAAAAACTTCGTTTCCACTCTGACGTTCCACTCTCGCGCTAAGTAATTCAACTTATCGGTTATCCAATATCCAAAATATGCTGGAACAGACATCTCTTCTTCCAGAACGTTAAACTTTCTTACCAAATAAATTTCCACTTTCCCGATCATTAGTCCCCGAAATCGCCCCGATCGAGCCGACCCACAATTTCAGATCATAGATATTACTTTCGCGTAACGATGCATCGCCCCAGGATATCATCGCCCCGCCAATCCTGTTCCACTCCTGTCATTTCGAAGGGGTGTACCTTCGTGTGTACCTACGCGGATTATGCGAATCTTCCCCACCCTAGGATGGGAGAACATTCGATTCGACTTTCGCCGAGTCACGGGTAGGGAAATGAAGTTTTCCCTTTTTGGCGAGTCGCGAATGGGATGTGTAATCGGGTGTTTCATAATAATCCTTGCAGGACGTGTTTTTTAATTTGAAACATCGGGGGAACGAGAGGTAATATTGAAACGTGGAGTAATATAGGAGTTTGCTGTTTAAAAAAAAGAAAGGAAGGGAGGGAGGAAAAAGGAAAGAGGCGTTTGAAAATGTTTTTTGTGATTTCGTTCTTCACGTGATACGTTTAAATGTATGTTTGAGTTGGTGGAAAATTTGTTGAAACGGGACGATATTGAAAATACGGGGGGGGGTTTTAAAAACTTTTGGATTTTTGTTGCAGAAACGCGGTTACACGGATGTTGGTATTTTTGCAAATATCTTTCATAGTTTCCTTTCGATCGAATTGTTTGTCGCGTTTCGATGAAAGTAGAAAAGTTTACGATGAAAAGGTTGTGATATCAATTTTATTATTATGAATAATTATTGATTGCATGGAGAAAAACTTCAAGAAAGTGAAAGGGGATGTTAACAAATTGAGAAAAGCTAAGATTAAGGTTGAAATTTTATCCCGGAGAACACAAGTTCGTTAATCGTTGACTCGATCTACTTAATTTTCCAAGAATTCTTTATCGAATATTTTTATCGGAAAATTAAAAAACGATGATCCCTGAAAAAGAAATATGAAAAGAAATTCTTGTGAAAAAATTGAATGGCAAAAAAAGTGTTATACCTTGGATGAAATAGAAACTGTTATTCGTCATTTAAGTGTCGATTGCGTTGGCTGGAATCGTTTTATTTCGCCACCTCCTTTGTCGAATAAACTTGCCGTTCAGATCTTAAAATTTACAACGTCTCCTTTGTTGAAGAGGGAACCTTTTGTTGGAGTCAAATTGGCAACGGTAAAAATTCACTTGAATTGTAAAATAAAGAGGAAAGTGAATTAACTTGGTTGAGAAATGAAATTACTTGACTTTTTCCACTGTGAAATTAAACGAATTATTAAGAAATTATTAAAAGATACAAGAAAAAAAAATAAGTGTAAAATCTCGATTTCATTGCATTGAAAGGAATCGAATATTCGAAAAATTGAATGTTTTTCTTTTTCTTTTTTTTCTTTTTTTTTTATTTTTCGACACGTACGCAACATATCGATGATGCTTTGTTGTAGTTAGTTTGATGGAACACGCGCTGTTGAATTTTACATTGAGCTTTCCACATAAAAATTTCGACAAAAATTTTTACCGCGAAAGGATATAGAAGATCTGGGAAATAGCTTATGCATAAAATATTTCTATTAAAGCTTTCCATAAAATTTTGGAGAAAAATTCCAAATTTCCAAGTTTTAAAATATCTGGAAAATAGATTCTCCAAAATCAACAAAATTTCTATTAAACGTTTCCATTGATAATTGAATTGTGATTGAATCGTGTTCTCCTTTCTTCGTATTTTCGTATTCTCAAAAGTAGATGTTGAAGATAAATTCTTAAATATCTGGAACTCCACAAGACACAGGATCCTCCCCAATTACAGGATCTGGATATATGCACAGGATAAAAGAGGCTAGAAAATATAAAGAACAGAATAGAAATTAAATAATTCCAAAATTTAATTTGTAATTATATTATCATCTTTATTGATATATGTATATATATATTATATATATACTTTACAATTTGTATCAGGACAATTCTTCGCCAAGTTCTCGACAAAGTCTTAACTCTAAAACTTTTAAAATCTACGCCTCTTCAGCTGAAAAAGAAAAAAAAAAGGGAAGGGGAGAAAAATCAAATTTTTCTTTTTTTTTTTTTTTTACATTCTAAAAGTAAAAAATTTTACTTTTCTCCCCTATACGTGATTCAAGGAAAGGGCAGGGGCTCATCTACCACAATCCATGAATCCTCGCAAAATCTCTTCTCAAAACAATATTAAAATTCTAATTTAAATGTGAAATCTCTTGATCGACCGAGTTTATTAAGCTCTTTCAATATTTTCTTTTTTTCTTTTCTTTTTTTCTTTTTTTTCCTCAAATTTTTATTTTTATTTTTTCGCCGAACAAACGATAAAGCTGTTTCTTTCTTCCTCTATAACTATATATATATATAGTAACCATGATTCAACCTATATTTATTTAACTTTTATTCACTTATTTTTTATTTGTATTTATAGACTGCGAATTTTTATGCAGCTAAAACGTGCTCTTCAACTAATATATGTAAAAATATCAATTATATTCTAAAAAAATTATATAGGATATAATATGTACACTTATAAGATAATAACTTTATTATATACATATACTTTTCGCAAATCTTCGTTATAAAATATGTGACGACAATAATTTTCTTTTTTTTTTTTGATAATTCTTTTCTCATAAATCGTTTGTCTGCAAATATTTTTTTTTTTTGTCATCACATATTTCTATTAAATTTTTCCTTACACTCTTAACACTTTTATCTCTCTATTCATTCTTTTTCATTCGATTAAATTTGTATATATATGTAACGCTTAATCGTTGAATAAATGATTAATTCCTGTCACAATTTTCTTTCTTTCTTCGAACAAACATCTCATCAATTAAGAGTCCAAACAAAACATAAGAAGACGCGTTTATTATTATATCACTTTACACAAAACACAACACACATGAAAAATTTCCATAAAAATCCGCAGTCACTCAACAAGCATTATTTTATATATATATATATATATGTACACAATTTTTATTCACGGATGTAAATCTCACGTATTACGGATAGAGGTTTTACACGTATAAAATGCTTTTTTTTTTCTTTTTTTTCTTTTTTTTTTATTACCTTTCGACACGCACACACGCAAACACACGCACACGCAAGCGAGAAAAGACGCTTAATTACGATCCGATGGGATTAATCTCGATCAGAGATGGGTTTTGCTCCAAAAATCGAGCAAAAATTCGAGATTCGTTTAATTAGGAAAATCAAAGATATATATATATATATA